GCTCTTTTTTGTAATATATACAATGGTTGAAGTGAGCTTGTGTATGTATTTCCCCAGTTTTCAACGCCATACTCTAAGTATGGTAAAATCAATGAAGAATACAAAATGCGTAATGCTTTCCCATCCAAAATATATTTCACCCGTGCCAATATCGATATATTTTTTGCTATTTTGTTCTGAACATATCTGATATGCGATTTCCAGGAGAATTTGTCATCAACTATGACACCTAGAAATATAATTGAATGTACTCGTTCTATTTTAGCGCCCCCAACATTCAAGAACAGGTTTAATGATTAATCAGATGGAACATTGTGGGTGTGGGGTAAGAATGTTAGCACTCTGTAATAATTCTTTAGTATATTACTTGTGTGGTGTAGAAGATAATTATCTATGAATGTAATTATGTAGAATGTTAACACTCTGTAATAATTCTGTAGTATATTACTTGTGTGGTGTAGAGGATAATTATTTATGTAGAGATATTGCTTAGGACTTAAAAGTTGTAAAATGATGTCATGGGGTAGGACTAGATAAGTGTAACTTCTTCCTACTCCGTTCAAGTATGTAATAGGTATAAGCAAATTGATATTGGATTAGCATTTGTTGGATATGTGTAAAATTATGTGTGTTGACATATCAACTGTTTTACATGCTTGAATGAATAAATCAAATCAATCAAAAATCAAATCAAATGTACAAGATTCAGCTGTGTGAAGCAGGGTGGCACAAAGAGCACAAAGACAGGCCAGGAAGCAACAGGAGGTGCATTTGCAGATAAAGACTGAAGACAGCAGATGAAGGCCTAGCATAAATAGAAGGGTTTATATGAATTGAACCCACAGCATGTAAAACGGTGTGCAGGAGTTTGTTGCATTGTCCTCCAGTGCACCAGTCACACAGTTTGGTGTGTAGACATTTTTATGTGTTTAGACTTAAAGTTTTGCTTGTAATAGCTTGTAATGGATTTATTGAACAGAAATCTATTAATATCATGAGGGGATGATCTGAGTGGACCCTTGGTGTAGGAAGTAACATCAGGAAGACTCAAGCCATAACTCTGAAACTTAAACGATGAAATAGGAAAACACAGAAAAAGTGCCATGTTATTATTGTGAAAACCGCTTTCTTTCATAATTTTGTTTTATAGGTTCAACTTTATCTACAACTGACTTGAGTGAACAGGAGTGTGTCCAGCTGTCTCTGTGAGTGCAGCCATGTGTGAGTGAAGCTTAAGGATGAGACGCAATGTGGTAACTCAGTTTTCACAAAGAAAAAAAAAAGCTTGTTGGGTGTATTGACAGTCCACAGAGCTGTTTATACTGTTGTTAGAAGAGCATAAACATTTAATGTTTGTTTTTTTCTTTTTTTAATCTGAAGAAACTGCTGGTTTTTGTAAGCATGAAAGTCTGTATTCCAGTGTTGATAATCTGATTTTATGTCCTCTCAGAAGAGGCCAATGTTTGATTAAACAAACTACAACATTGTGTTTCCTGTTTTAACCTGTAACCATGCTGTTGTTTATTTCTTTTTAATAAAGCAGTCTTTTGAGTATGTTTTTATAAAGTCCAGATAGTAGCTGACTGATTCAAAGTAAGCGTGGATCTCTTTGGAAACAGATTTTTAATTTTGTTTTTTGTTTTATTTAGTTTACCTCTCACTTAAATGAAGACTGAGATGAAGGCATTATGATAAATTGTTCAACAGGTCACTCTACATGGCCCAAGCCAACAGGGAGTGTTCTGTTTGTAGACAGCACTTATTGGATGTAAATGGTTTTCGTTTTTAGAATTAAAATAGGCGTTCGGAAAATTACAATACAGGAACAAATGATTTGTTGTCTGCACATCCTAATTGCGTCACCCTTTATCAGAACTATATTCAAGGACTTTGGCCTTTAGTGTTTATTACACTCCCATTACGGTTAAAATATGTTTGTCAGCCTTTGCATTTCCAAATTATAATCAGATTTGCTTCACTAACCTAACCAGTGGTCCTACTGAAGCAGCATAAATGGGCCTGGTAAATAAAAAAGGTTTGGAGGGGCGGGGGGTTTTGTCCATCATACACTGAAGAAATTTTGCAAGCCGGATTTTAAAAATGTATTTTAAATATTCTTTGAATTAAACGTTTACCTAGCAGAATCAAATTATTTACCTGGAAATCAAAGTTTTCCTCCTTCATAAGTATTCCACATTTAATGAAAAATTAAAACACCTCAGTATTTTTGTTCGTTTTTCCGAGAAGGTGCTGAGTGCCTGACAGTCTGTACTCAGGACACAGTCTCCCTTTCATGACGCCATTTACCCGCGACGCTCAGGCCATTCCACACCTTACATTTTACTAATGTGTAAACTCTCTCCATAAACTGCATGTGAACCTTGTTTAAGTCCAGATAGTTTCTACAATGGCCTCTAAACGACCGCAGGACGACAGAAGCACAACAGAGAAGAAGAAAAAGAAGAAGAATTGTGACGAAACAGCGAAACTTTGTTCTTGTATAGAAGACGAGCAGGTGACGAGAGCAGTGAAGGAGGCATGGAGCCGGAGGACTCACTACAGCCAGGGTGGGTGAAGTCAACGAAAGCACTCTCCCGGCTTGGCTTGTACATTATAAGCATTACTAATTTGTCTCAAAATCAGAACAACGTTTCTCAAGTATGTTGTATTTTATTAGTCTTATTAGAATACTTGTCTTTTACTTTTCCCCACATTTATAGGCTTTATTTCCGTCAGTGATAACTGGTCATTCCATTTACGGTTTTGTCTTCTGTTTTCTGCTTTTTTTGTTTTGTTTTGTTTTTTGTTAAAGACCCAGCAGTTTCCTTCTACGTAGTATTTTGCAAGTGTGTACCTGAGGTTCAGAAAGATGTTGAGTCAACAGTATGATCATTTTGGAGGTTGTAGCTTATGTTGCTGTGGAACTGTGCTGCATTATAGAGGGAGTTTTTGTCATTTAGGCTAGCCTCATATAGAATGGAAACACAGTTGTAGTACAGTTCAGCAGCAGCATAAACTACATATTCCAAAATGACCGTAGAGGTGGATCAACTCCTATTTCACCTGAACCTAAACATTATTGCCCTGATGAAGGAGGATTTATTGCAGCAATGTTGTGTTGGACTGCATTGGTTTTAACTTTGTGTACCCAATAAACTGCCAACTTAGTGTATAGTTAAAATAACCAAGCAAACTTTGGGATTTTGGTTAATGACAACTCAGGTGGTTGGTTGGTTTGGCAGAGCTTTTGTATACGCACAAGTGAAATTATAGAGCCTGACCAGCAATAGTTGCTGTAGCTTATCATAGATGCTGTATGTCAGCATTGGTGCACATTAGTAACAAAAAATTGCAGTTCAGAAATGTTTAGTCTCCAGTTGTCTTCTTAAGTGAACTAAAACTTAAGGAACCTGATTTTGTTTGTATGTAAAAACTGAATAGTGCTGATAGTCAACACTGGTCTAAAATGCTTTGCCTGGCTATAGTTATTTGTTAAAAATTTCAGTTGGACATATTATCTTTTGTTATTGTTGTGCAGGGGATCTGGAGTTGGACTGCCACCCTTTCCCTCACTGCATTATTAAAAACTTCCTCAGCAGCGAGACCTTTGTAGAAAACCTGCAGAGAGAATTGCTTCAGCTCAATTTCCATGAGAAGTCAAATGATCTCTACAAATTTAAGCAGGTAGTGATCAAACCAATTTTCTCACAGTTTAATTCCAGTGGGTTTGTGTTGTTGTCATATTGTCTTCTTGTTTCCATCCAGTCAGATGACTTGAGGAAGAGAACTGAGCCACATGTCGCTGGACTGAGGTAATAAATATCATGTATTGATGTATGTATATGACAGAACTAGAGAGTGTTGGAGGTATTTTATGGATCAGTTATTGGGTAACATAGGAGATATGTTGAGAAAGGTGAAGTGTGGATAAATGTTCTAACAATTTGAGCCATGAACATTATTTATCAAAAAACATAAGACACATTTATATTTGAGGCTTCTGTTCTGATAGCTCATCATTTGGTTGATTTATTTATTTATTTTTTAACAGTGCAGTGTCTTAAGGACTTGCTCAAGAGCTGGGATTGAACCATGAAGTTAATGCTCATTTAATCTCTGCTGACACCTGGGTTACAGTTGTCCTTGATAGGTTGTTTCTACCAGACACAAAGCTACTTTAGTTAAAAGCACAATAGTCAGGTAACATCCCTATTTTCTACCTGTCAGAAGACCTACCTTTCTTTAAAGTCACAATGGTTTATGTTTTTTAACAGTCTTTCCAGTTCCAATGTGAAAACAGCAACCCATGCTCCATGCTGAGACCTGTATCCCGAAGATTAGTGGGTTATTCAGCAAACTTTGGGCATAGCTCAAGTTTCTGGTACCACAAAGCTTACTCACTTTTAATCAGGCTAGATCACCATGGTAACCTCAGAGGATCAGATTTGAACCTGTCAGCAGCCTGACCAATGACCAGCCAGATCACTGGAAAAAGTGAGTGATCATTCCTACAGGATCCTGACAGGGACAAAAGATTTTACATTAATGTGATAAATAATAAATCGATATTTCCTTAGAGCAGCATTGTTGTGCAGTTTGTCTATCAATTAACCACTCTGGTTTAAAGCAGAGTTTCTAACAAACTGGGGGATTATACATCTTCGATGATGATCAGCGCTGTATTTTAAGTGCACAGTTTGATTCCTGACCGTGTAGATGTTTTATCAGCTTCCATCTCTGCAGCGCAGAATGACATGAGAGGGCTCTGTGGTGATAATTGGTCTTTTATTGGGAAAATAATCCACACTCTGTTACATATTGTTCACGATTATAAATGAACATAAGACTTTAGGGATAACTCCTCACCTCTGTTGGACATTAGACATTTTTTACTAACACGTTCACAATAGTTTTGTTGTCATCAGACAAAAGTCCCATTCAGTAACAGCCTTATAATAATACTGTGCTAAATTTGTTTATTCTTAGCCTTTAATATTTGCTAAATATTTTTGCTGTTTATATCTTATAGGACTGGCACAGTTACAGACCAGCTGGTGAACATAATGGAGCATTTAGCAGAATGCACAATAAGAACTAGATATTTCTCTCAGGACTTGGTAGAGAACAAATCAGAGCTAAAAATGGGTGAATATTGAACTTGGATTCACCAGGTGACCAGTAACAGGATATCAAATCAGTGGTAATGTTGTTTTATAACTGCTGGCTGTGTAAGTTAACTGTTATTGTGATAATGCATCGGTGCTGTGTTCACAACTTATTCTTCTACTCCCAAGTGGCCAAAATAACAGTGTGGGTGTAGATCTAGGTTATGTTGTTGGCAGGTTATTAGAGTTTGGCTTTTTTTCCTCAGCTGACAAATTGAAATGTGCTACTGTTAAGCACATGTGGTAGATACATTTTCCTGCCTCACTTTAAACCACTTTTACTCAACCTTGTCCTGAGAGAACAACAAAAATTATCAGAACATCCTTTTTAAAAAATAATACAAAACGTGGTGCTGTCATTCCCACGCAGTGCATATTCCAAAAATATTCAACAAGCAACCTTTGGCTTTCTTTGTGTGATTTTCATTTATTGAAACTTGCTTGAAAATAAGCTTATTTGTCTCGGCAGCAAATGAAGTAAAAAACTGAGATGTTGATCCAAGAGTAGTGAGACATTTTGGGGTTATACATCAGCTCCACCAGGTGGAGCCAGAAACTCTACCTCTGCCTCCTAATTAGTATGTTTACTTCATGTAGTGTTGTTGATTCTATTAACACTGGGACTGTGCAGTAAACGTAATGGAAAATGTGTTCAGGTGCAGTCAGTCACAACATGTGAGCATAACATGGACAATGTAATACTTGTGTGAGTGGAAAGACTCTTTCTTCTTCAGTGTGGTGATGTTGATGAACTGGGCAGCACATGCAGGGTATTACAACAGTGTAAATGTTGGGGCCTCTCAGATAGATGTTTTGAAACAAAGCTGTTATTGCGGAGATGTAAATGCTGCCAAACGCTGCCTGGAGGTTCAGTGTTTGAGGCAAGAACAAAAAAAAATTAAGATCTCAAAAGTATAAATCAAAATCAAAATGAGCTGGGTGTCACGTTTGAATCTAAGACAACACGTTCACACTCACACATTTCCCAGATAGTAAAACAGTGCGCAGACTTTTCCTTTATTTAGAAATATTGTGTTTTTTGTTTTTTTTCCATTACAAATGTGACATTCTATGTTGAGAATCTGCAATGTGTCATTTCTTCCAAGTACTTATTTGTGTGGTGGTATACCTACTGAAGAAATACAGCACTGGAGAATAAATACCATAATTGAATACACAATGATGGCCTCCTCTTGAGATCATCTATTATTTATGTCACAACAAAATGTCATGGGTGGCTTTCAGGCACTCAAACTGTCAGTCTGTGTGGTGTTGCAGATACAACTTATCATTTTATACAAGGGCAAATGTTGTGCTTCATTGTCATTGTGCAAATTATACAACATATAATGTATTCATATTATACACCATGGCAGTAAATTGGCATTTATTACGAATTGCACTTGATACACAAGACACGATTTCACAGTGAAAGGACATTTTTTCTGTGTCACTGTTTCAGGGCAGCACTGTTTGGGCGTTTCCGCTCCTGGCTTGGGGAAGTGTTGGGGGTTGAACTGGAGCCCACTGTAGATATTTCTTGTGCCAGATATGAATACACAGGTGATCTTAGTCCTAAAACTTGAGCATGAAGGACTGATATACTTTTAGGTTCTTTTGGTATTTTTTTTGTTATTAAATAAAAAATGTCACCCTTTCATGTTTCTAGATGTTCTTTTGTGTCACGATGATGAGCTGGAGGGGAGGCGTGTTGCGTTCATTATCTATCTTGTGCCCCCATGGCAGAGCAGCGAAGGGGGAACCCTCGATCTGTACACAACAGATGGTGAGTTTCCTTTTTGTGTATATGTGTTTTTCTGTGCTTTTTGACAACTGAAGTATTGTATATTTTTCATCTTTGCCATCAGATCATTTCCAGCCACAGAGTATAGTGAAGTCACTTGTACCCTCTTGGAACACACTCGTCCTCTTCGAAGTTTCTCCAATTTCCTTTCACCAAGTAAGAATAAGTCCTCTGGTTTTAATATTTGTGGTATCTGCAGGTCTTAAATGTCTTAAAAGCGTTGGTTTAAGGCCTTAGAAGAAACTCTTAAATATCATTTACAATATCATATTTTTTTTTGTCCTGTTAGTTACTTAAATGTCTCTGTATACAAACCTGGTTTGAAAAACCCACCTCTATTTTTCCAGACCCTTCACCTTAAGTTATTTAGTTATATCTCTGTCTGTCCTTTTTCTGCTGCTTATTTATTGATTAATATATTGTGTTATTAGGAATGATTGCTACAAAATGACAGAAGGTAATGACTGATATGTAAAATAAATGTAAATAACCTGATGTTTATTTCACATTGCACCTGATAAATAATTCTAAGCCTCTATCCCTACTGGTTTTCATTGGTATGACTTACACTTTGGCCAGTGTGACCATGAAAAAGGTATTAAATTGAATTCTATGGGGCAAAAAAAACTAAATTGCCGTTGCCCCAAAGAAGAGAGTGATTGGAGATCTACAGCATGTTGTGTTTTTCCAGGTGTCAGAGGTTTTGTCACAGGATAAGTGTCGTCTGTCTCTGAGTGGCTGGTTTCATGGACCATCTCTGGAGCGCCCTCCTCGCCAGGTCGAGCCCCTTGTCCCGAGGAGTCCACACTTACCAAGAGATGTGGGTTTCACCAAAAGTGTACTGTCTTATTTTACTGTCTTCATAGGAATAGTTGGAATTTTTTGGAAATACAGTACATTTAGCTGTTTCCTTGTCAGAGTTCATGTTAGTTAGATGTTAGATGTCTTTATGGCCCTGCAATAAACCAGTGGAAAACCTTCCTGAACTCAATGTGCATAAATACATTTTCACAAAAGAGAGTCCTCATCCGAGGGGGACCGGAGTATAGTCAGACCTGACCCAAATAGACACAAGAATAATTAGACATGATCCATAATGTAGCCGACTCAAATAGAGAGAGAGAGAACACAAACACCTGCAGCAGCCCAATGCAGATGATGAGTTCAGTTAACAAGCAGCTGCATGGAAAAGAGCAGCAATATAATGAATACCGTCCTTAGAACAAAGAATATAAATAATTGAGTCTATTTGAGACTTTTGTTGTGATTTGGCGCTATACAAATAAAATTTAATTTGATTTGATTTGATTTCCGCCTCCTGCACTAACAGTAAATCATCTGGGTGATGGGGGGGGGGGAAATATTCTAACTGATTCAATATGTTCTAGTAAAGTTCCCAAAAAATATCATTTAATAGCATATATCTTGTAGGATAGTGATTTTCCTAAAATAGGATTGACTATAGTTCCTTCATCAGAACAAAGCTGCCAGAAGATCTCTTCTGTACTTTAAAGGAATAATTCAGGATTTTCCAAGTTGGTGTTAAAACAACAACAAACTCATTTCCACGTTATTTCTGAGCACAACTCCAGTGGTAAACACGGGCTAAAACTTACACGCAACTACTATAACGTATCCCTTCACTGCAGCAAAGCAAGGCAATAAGCTGTAAACTATGAAACACATTGACTTGAATTTTCTTAGTGGGACACCTGAAGCTGCATTTGACTCTCAGAACTTTGGAGCGCATGTTTTTACAGAATGAGAGTTGTGTAGTTCGTCAGCAGTTAGCTTGGCTTAAAGCTGGAAACAGAAGGAAATACTGAGCCCAGCTCTGTCCAAAGATAAAAAAAAATCCACCTCCCAACACCTTTAATGCTCATATTTTAAAAGATTATACTGTATGTTATTTGTTTAATCCACACAAAAAACAAAGTGTAAAAATGGCATTGCGGCTTTATAGGGGTTACAGTATGCGTTGCTAAGATAGCCTGGCTCTAACTTCATATGTAACAGACAGGTGTGAGCAAGCAAACAATTGTACATTGCAAAATGTCAGACTGCTCCTTTAAAGGACAGCCAACATACCTGCTTACATGTTCATTGTGTTTATGTGTTCATGACAGGAGACACTGCTGCTGGAGTGGGTCAATCCAGTGTACCTGGACATCTCCTATCAGGAGCAGATTCAGGAGGAGTTTGAGGACAGCTCTGAAATTCAGCTCAAAGATTTTCTTAAGGTAATTTCTTGTTTTATGTACCTTGCATGTGTCCACAAGTTCTTGTTGACTGGCTATGTGTTTGTCTTCAGGAGGAAAAGTTCAGGGAGGTTAATGAAGCATTTGCTGAGGTCCAGTGGTTGAGCAGAGGTCCACCCAATAAGAGGTAGGTGACGTTTTACAAATGATTTGACTTACTGTCATGGTATATTTGTTGTTTGTTCCATGCATGCTGTATTTAACACTATCTGTGTGCTTGTAGATGCTATGAAGTGGCTTCTCTGGACACCCTGCCTGAGTGTGTGAGTGCATGTTGGGAGCTGCTTTGCTCAGAGGCTTTCTTCCTGCTTCTCTCCAACTTCACTGGCCTGCGACTGCACTACCTGTGTCCTGCTGATGATGACGAGGAGAATAAAGATGAAGAGAAAGAGGAGAACAACAAGCCAGAGGATGTACAGGATGGGGAAGCCACTGCGTCTTCAACTGAATCACCATCAGCAAATGCAAATACAAGCAGAGAGACAGGTGTGTGTCACTGTTAGTTGGTTTCTTCAGTCGCAGGTCTACATAGCTCTGTTTGTGTGTTCTGACGCCTGTGCATTCTTTAGCGCTGAGCACACCTGTATGTTGTGGTGAACTGCGTCGATGGTCTCATGGCAGCTACACCCTACTGCATGATGCAGAGGCTGCACAGGCAGAGCACGCTCTGGACCTCGTGTTGCCTTTTGGCTGTGCTGGTGAGTGCACACACACACACACACACACACACACAGGAAGAGCAAACTGTCCATCAGTGTTATAAAATTTTAATTGTCTTTCATAGACTGGCAGTCAGAGTTTGGAGGCTTCACGTGTTATGTTGCTAATGAGGAGGATGAGGAGGTGAGTGCTAACCACAGTATGAAGTGCTGCTGCACATGTGTGTAATTCTCATCATAGCTTTATTTTCGTCTTCTTCAGCTTCTCACAGTGTATCCAGAGGAAAACTCCCTCGCCCTTGTCTACAGAGACAAAGAAACCCTCAAATTTGTCAAACATGTCAACCACAAAAGCGCCTCTGACTCTGCCTGCAGAGCATTTTATGACTTTTCTTTTGTGTACTATGAATAAAAATGCATATATTTATATCTTGTTAGTTCTTTAATTCATCTTCTTTAAGTGGTGTGTACATTTTTAAATTTCAGCCAGAGAAAAGGACATAATATAACGTGAGCTTTTCTTTTGGGAACTGTTTGGCTCTGAACAACCAGCCATTTGATTATTGGACCAGCAGTTGTTGGAAAACTTAAACAGAAAAACAGATGTGTTTATTAAGTTTTGCCATTTTGGAAATTCTCAGTCCCCTAAAAGTCATTTAGAGTGTATAGCTGTCTTTTAGCAAACATGAATTTCAAGCCAGTTAGAAATTTCAGATTTGGTTAGATCGGCACTGCTGCTACTATTGCACACTTAAGTCTGTGAGAACATACTGTATGTGAGAGTGGATAGGATGAGACTACTAACTTGGCCTCAGCTAAAAAGTGTAGTCTGAGAACCAGACTGTAAGAAACATTAATTACTCCTTTTGGTCCAGTTTATCACCAATTCATCATAAATGGTACGCTAGTGGTTAAGGCGCAAGCGCTTTCGCCGCGGCGCCCCGGGTTCAAATCCAGGTTGCGTCAGGAAGGGCATCCGGCGTAAAACAAGTGCCAAATGTCAGCATGCGAGTCGTCAGTGTGACGATTCGCTGTGGCGACCCCTAAACGGGAAAAGCCGAAAGTGACTATTCATAAATATTTCTGAATGCTCACCATTGAAGTAGAATATTAACTGTTATTGCTTTTCCATCTTGTAGCTTTTTTTTATCCTATCAGCAACGTTTCACTGTTTTTGGTGAGTTTTCAGCAGCTTCTTCACAACTGTGTACATGATTACTGTTTCTATAACAGCAGTAGAGCTTAATATTCTGCAGGAACAAGGGCCCTCCAGGTAAACCACAGGAAAAAGTAGAACATCGATGTAGCAGATAAAACTGACTACAGTGCGACCAGACAATACAGTCTGTCGCTTTAAAACATAACCTTGATGAGATTCAGCCCTGTACTGATTTATAACGGGAAACTATCTGTTATAAAGATGTGCAATTGAAATATTTTCTCCTACGTATGAACTTGAAGTTCTACATAAAAAAAAATCATTTCCTTCCTGTCATGATTTTTCTTCGTCAGCATGTTGATTATTCCCACCAATCAAGGCACGATTTAATTTCTGCTCAGCCAATGGGAGGCCAGGAAGTTCTTAATGCGTCAGTGGGTGTGATCTCGGCAGGAAGTGTTCCGAACAATACAACAAAGTTTTAAGGTAAGTTTATACCAACCTTAAGTAGCTACATTTTACTATATAGTGATTCAAAATAACAAAAAATAGACGCAATTTCTGTCTGTTTCTGTGTCCCTTAGCTGTTCAGTGAACACGGTCGCCTCGTGGCCGACGTTTTACGGCAGTGGCGTCTTCTATACGTAAGGTCCGATTTATCACAAAACACACCAAACTGTCTTTAAATACTCATCATTTTAACAAAACCGAAAATCACGATGTATTTAACTGACGGTTCTTGTCTCCGCTTAGGCGAATCAACGCTGCTGTAAAAATAATAAAACACTCAGACTTGTTGCAGGTAATGAGCTAACTTCACCTGTTTCAGTCAAAAATAACCTGTACACATGACCCGATTAGATCAGATTTTAACATTGGATCTTTCTAAAAAGCAAGGCTCTAACATAGTTGACGTTGTGCTTTCGTGGCGCAAATTTCTAACTGTTTTGTGATTAATCAGATTATGTTTACCCAGATGACAGGGAGTCAATGTGAGACTGTTGTGGTTCCTGAGCAGCTGCCTGGTCGGTGATCCTTTTGTGCCTGCACCTGTAAATCAGGGCAACGTAGGAACCCGTTCTTTAGCTAGGCCCACTACATGCTTTTATCACATATATCACATACAGACATGTATAGTACATATGGGTAAATGTATTTTTTCTGACTTCACCTGTGTTACTATAAAAGTCTTCAGAAATACAGCAAAATATATTTTAGCAATAATTGGATACATTTTTAAAATGTCACTAGATTTACCATTTTTATTCCAAAGGTTGTTATTCCAAAAAAGTCCCCTATTTATCATTTAATAACAATAGGCCTATATAAACATTTAATAAATGGTTTATAACTAAGGATGGGACAGTATATCGAAATTGAGTATATCACAATCCAAAAACTTCACAAAATGAATCACCTTGTCTCGCGATATACAGTATGCCATGCTGTCTCCATACACCATCAACTTCTTATTTTTTGTAAATAAGATAGCCTAACAGAAGTCAATATACAGTCAGGGAAAAAATTATTTGAACCCCCGCTGATTTTGGAAGTTTGCCCACTAACAAAGAAATGATCA